CAATAATTTTTAGTCCTGCAAATCAATTATTCACTACAAAGTCAATGATCATCCAATCAATCCCTCGGCAAGCGAAAGTCTGACATTCATTCTCTTCTCTTTCATGTCGGCTGTCTTCCTCCTCTGCAAAGGACAAGGATGGATCCATAACCTCCATAGTCTATGATATGTTCTAAGGTATGGCTTCACACTGTGTGAATCACATCTCTTCTTCATTCTACGGACTACAGCAACAACAGATCTTCGTTGACGATTCTAATTACGAAATTTAATGACAAAAGACAATCCCTTTATAATCATTCACTGGGGCGAGTTAGGATGATTTTGCACAAGATGATTCACCACGTTGGAGGAAGTAGTACTAGGTCCACACTCTGCTTTCTGTAAAGCATTTTTGAACAGAACCATATATTAATCATGTTCATTTCAGAATTCAACAACGGCAAAAACTCAAGGTGGGTCAAGACATAGTCAGTTGGGAATACTAGAGACACAACATAGAGAGGATAAGATAATGCCCCTGTTTGATAACCTTTAAAATTTTGCTATAGTATCACTCTTCACCACACATTCACACAATAAAATATTCCTTCTTAACCACACATTTTCCAAAAAATATTATTCAGAAAAATTCTCCAAATAATGGGTGACAAACAGGGGCAATATATTATGCAATAAAACCTTGAATCCTGAGCAGAATCGGAACAAAAGTGCAGGAAATCACAAAGGTTTTTCCAATGATGAAAAACTACTTCATAATATTAACAAGGCAGTGTAATAGAAATCACAAATGGTTGTCTGCTGACTAATCGTAAAGTGCAGTTCACAAGAAAAATAAAGGGAATGGACTACGAGCTCACATAATCTTACTCATTAGTAACTAGTTGTGCAATGGACAACACTGTATCAGTGAAGTTTGACTACACCTAGGTATAATTAAATATTATAGGCCAATACAAAATTAATCATTCAATAAAACCAAAATAGAAATGTTTCAAGGGAAGCTGCACAGGAATACTTGGATAATGGTTGGGAACTAGGGGCTGATCCACAATTCATACCTCTAAAACAGGACTAAAGAAAGCATAGAAGAGACAGCAGCAGAGAACATGAAACAACTCACTCCTCATTTCCCTGTTTCCGCTCTAGAATCTGGTGATAGCAAATTCCAAGAAAGGAGCGGTTTATCCCCAGATAATCACTACTCATTCTTGAAATACTCCCACAACCCTTATCTGAGCATCACAGTGTGTTTTCAAAAAAAAAAAAATCAAATCAACCATGGGGGACATTGACAAATTCACACCTCCGTAGGATTTTGATTCGGAAATTCATTATTCTCTGGCCATTCATCTGACACAGGATTGACGACGTCCCAGAGAAAACCATTTTCTCTTTGTACAGAGAGTCTATCGCAATCATTATCCACAGCTCTAGAATGAAGTGCAATATAAGATATGTAGTTGTCTGCAACATCACAAGTGAAAAGAAAAAATAGTGTTAATGTCTCAGCAAATGCACGAAGCAACTAATAAAGCAATAACTAAGAGTAAGATCATCATCTTCAGTATATGGCTTTGTGTATCAGAGATAGTAAAAATGATAAAAATGACGAAGTCTAAAATACCGGAGAAAAAGACATGCATCCGTATGAAAAGAGCTTGTGCATATGTACTGTGTAGTAGGCCATGCCCTAGGATAGCTCTTGCAAAAATTGTTAGAAAAAATAAAAAAGGGATCTTATAGCTAAAAGGACTCGAAACTTACAATATTTTAAGAAGTGGAATCAATAAAATTCAGTTTACATTTCGGTAAGATGTTCCATATTATTGACATATTTAAACAGTTTGCTTTAGTCGTGAAAATTGAAATTTTCACCCGGATCATAATGCATGTACATGTAGAACTGCCACTGGTAAAAGACAAGCATGTGGACTCTTCATTACAACAATGTAGGAGAGTATAACCTAAAAGTAGTCTTACCAGCTAAGCCACGAAGGGCATTTTCAGCAGCCTGTTGCTGAGCATCCTTCCTTGTCCTGCCCATCCCAACACCGATTTTTTCACCAGTAAAGAAAACCTACACATTAATTCAGCACACTGAGCCTCCATCTAATAAATTTAGGTTAACTCTTCACAAAACATCGAACAATGTCAGATAGTGAGAAATCATCGAGCATTGCAGGATGCTGAGCAGTGTTACAATCATTAACGGATAAAGAAATTCTACAGACTAACCATTTGGGCTATTTAAATCTGAAAGGACAAAGAATGATTGATTTAACATTGGCTGGCAAGACATAAATCAATTACAAAGAGCATGTCTGGTCTCAACAGTTAATTATGGCCACAATCATCAGTAGTCCCACAGCATTAACATTGAAGAATTGCATAGCAATGTAATTCCAAGTGAGACTACACTAGCCCAAGTTGGGTGTCCAATGTAAGTGAGAAACTTTCAAGAAGTCTTTCATATGTTTAGCGGTGTACACGTGCATATTGATGAAGAAACAGCAACCATATTTTAACCACAAACAAGAGAACACCATAAGAAACTCTGCTGCTAAGCTCTCATCTGCAGTATCTTATCCATTTTGAACTGAGAAAATCCAATATGTACAATTTAAATACTAACCTCTATTGAGAACTGCAAATCATCACTGGCACTTACCACTGGCTTAAATTCAACCTGAGCAAGAGACGCATTATGATGACACCCGGCAATAAATATATGGTACTTGACATTGTTTCTTGCTAGAAATGTGAATTTACCTTTGATCTGCATCTTCTTCCTATCTCTTGGAGCACACCAATAGACAATGAAGGGAACAAGTTCATTTTTTCACTTTCAGGTTTAAGCTCTCTATTATTGGAGAAGAATTGGTTTTGAGAAACACCAAACTCTACCAAGAAGAGAAAACAATAGCACATTAGGAGAAGATAAATGGCAATGTCTTCAGGTTGCAAGTCACATAATTACAAATAGAGAAAAATAAAACAGTTTGAGGAGAAAAACATCATATCCAAGGTTCAAGTGTAATCAGCAATAGCGCCACAAAAGGATTAGCTACACCAATATGACACAGAAATTAAGACAAAAAAAAACTTTAAATGGTTTTTCTAATATGAACATGCAGTAGCCATATATTGAGTTGCAGATAGCAACATTTGCATGTTGGATATAAACTGTCACAATAAAATTGACTGCTTTATATGTTATTCAACTTGATGTGGAACATCCACCTCTATACAATGTCTTAGTACCGCATGTATTAATAGAAAGTGATGCGTATGTTATCCCTTTTTTATTTTTATTTTCTTTTATATTCTTTTTGAGGGGAAGGATAATCCAATATATATGTTTATAACTGGCTAAACCTCATGCAACTAACAGCCGAAATTATTAAATGAGCTGTGGAGGACAACAATCCAAATAACAAAGAATAACTCATAATCTGATAAATATCTGTTCAGGAATTTCAGTGACTTGATTATCAAGTCGTCGATCATTTTCCTATACAACAAGGATACAAGTCTGCCATCTTTCTAAATCGTACATGTCAAATTTCCTTAATATAATAATCTACCTTCTTCTGTCAATGAATATGAACAAATTCAATTTAGCTAATAAACAAGAGAACACACAATTTTCCAGCCAGTGTAGAAGAATATCATTTTTGAAAAGGACATAAGAATATAAAGGAAAATAAAGTTCAACAAATGCAGCCATACGCTCACGTAAACATATAAATGTATATCAGAGTGGGTAAATTCAATATCATTAAAGAGAGGGATACAACAACCATAGAACAAAACCCAATTAGTTAGAAGATAAAAATTGAAAATCAAGTATGATGCACGAAACGAAACAATATTTAGTTCAATTTGATCCAACAGCCCAATAATGGCCGATCACATAAGCCTTCAAACTAGAGGTCAATTCATAGGTCCACTATTAGCAAAAGTTTCATGTGCATTATATATGAACAATCTTTTCTTGTGCCTTCTCATCCTGTGTAAAATTGTCATCAATTAGTCGCTGGACAATAGTGACAAAGGAAAAATGCACTTTTAAGACATGACCTGCATTCTTTAACATCCATAGAGGCAATAGAATACAATTGTACTTCACACACAATAGCATGACTGTAATGCTATCTCCCAATTTAGGACGCGAAGCATTCAATTTACAGTTCCTTTTTATATGTAGAGTTGGTGGATAATCATTATAACTACTTTTCCTTCAATTGGTAGTATTATAAATTTAACGAAACATGTCCAAGGTATAACGAGATAATATGGCAATACTAACACAAAATTCAAGTACCTGCAAACTGATTAGCCAGTAGAGGGTTCTGTTTCTGTGCATCGTGCCCTGAGTTAACCTGCTTATAGATAAAACTGGACCGTGTAAAAGAAGTATGCAAAGAAGGAAAAGCTACTATCAAATAAAATTTAAAAGGCAAATGGGACTTTAGCAACCTCTTCCTTCTTCACTTGAGGTACATTTGACAATAGTCCTGGAAGAACAGAAGGCGGTGTACCATTAGTAAATGAATTCTGACGACCTTTCTGTCTATCGGATGGATCAGATTCTGAAAGATTTCCTTCTGATCGATTATTGAAATGCTCTCTATTTGTGTCTTCTACTAACCACCCCCCCTGTGATTGTAGGAAAGGTGCAGGTTGCTGCTGAGGCAATCTAGTCAATAGAGAAGGTTCCGTCGAAGCTAGGTACCTGTTTTCCCTTCTAAATGGATCTCCAAGTAAACTAGGTTCTACAGTGCATTAGGGGGGGGGGAGAAAATGAAAAAGAACAAAAAATATCTCATCACCAATGTATGTAACTTTATAAATTGAAGATAAACCACAATGCCCAATGAAACAAGAACAAAAAAGTAACTGGACTTTAATAAACTTAAAAGCATGTTGTTCATCACCATCCATCCAATTTTCAATATCAAAACATTTCTGAATTAAGACCCATACTTTCCGAAGGCAATATTGCTCTTGAAGATGGTGGAACAATAGCACTTGCGACGGATTCTACAGGGAGCTTAGTACTTTCAGATTTCATCTCTACATTGTTAGTCACAGATCGAGAAACAGCATTTGTAACATTCTTCTCTTCCTGAATAACATAAGAACACAAGAATATGGATGAAGATAACATTCTCCTTCATGTTTTACAAGTGGAGTAGGAGAACAAAAATACGTGAAATACCATCAACTGGTACAAGAAAATACCGTGTAGTTCAATCTCTGAGCAACTTCTGGGCCATTCATTCCCTCAATAATTGGAGCATTAAGATGTCCATTAGGTACAAAACTAGAATCCTGACAACAAATACGTTTGGATATTACTATCATAAATCACAAACAAATTGAGAGACAAAACTTCAGTCTGAATACCTCTGACATCAAGTAGTTGCTCACATCTGATGGCGAAGGCAAATTCACGACTTCGTCTTCATAGAAAACATCGCATATTCTTCGAAGTAGATTTTCATCGAACTCTCTAATTGTGTTGAGGAAAAAGGCGTAAGTCATACAAAGCACCCATCTAGAAGAATGCTACCAAGATATACAACAACATCCATCTATTTACTAAGTAATTCAATAATTATGAGAACTTGACTAACTTAAAAAAACCGCCCCTGACATTGCATGCAACGTTTCTTGCTACACAAAGGACTGGAACAGCAAATGCAGTCTGATCAAGAAAATATGTCCATCACTAGCAGTTCATGTGATAAGCAATTGAAACCATGTTACAAAAACGAAATAAAATACCTCTGCCTGAGGAGAAAAATATGGAGTAAACGCAGGTACTACATGAACACGAGGCTGATCCTTCTCTTCCCACACCTTCAAGCGATCATCAATTACCATTGCCATTTTTGGATGACAATTTCCACCTTGGAAAACATTGAGTAAAGATTTTCTTGCCCCTAAGAAGACAATGATAAATATAATTAAACGAAATAAGTTTCATTTGATTATTTGAGGGCAAAAGATAAATAGAAGAACGAGATCAAATTCGTATGAACAAAAAGCAAACATCCCCTATTCATGTATCTGATCAAACATTAGAGATAGGTGCTAAAATATTTTGACCTCATTCATACAAATTTAACTATTTTACTATAAAATAATATAAACTAGAAGGAAGAATATTTTTCTGAATCTCTGAGATGCTCTAAAAAATTGCCATAAGCTAAGGCTCTTAAACTATCAGCAGAAGCTAAAAGGAATCCCTCTCATATTCTCACCTGTTTTGACACAAACAACACGGTCCAGTAGTTGCTTTGAACTAATCAAACGTGCTTCTGGATCAAGAAGCCTCCACATTTCCAGTGCATAATCTCTTTCAGCCATAGTACAAACATAAACTTCAAACCTTTTCCGACCTTTCGCAGTCAAATAACTTTTCAAATCTTCCCAAGCAGGTCGTAACCTGACTAGCACACTAGTATCATGATTCTGCACAGGAGAGCAACCATTGTAAGTGCAATGACTGATATGAATCAAACAACAAAGAGAACTACATAACTGATCCAATCATTACAATAATTTTACAATGGTGAATCTTAATCTAAACCCCCAAGAAATGCTAACACAGTTAAATTCAATACATCTAGTCGTCTAGAGATCTACATAAAATCGTTAATAACACAGCTCATCATGTGTTTAAACAGAAATTTGCTGTCTGATCCTGCAGAAACCAGCAACCAATCTATAATAAGAAAAGTAGATATTATAACAGCACCAAAGTGAACAGGACAGCTTATGCAAGTAGTTGAAAGATAGCATGGATAGAAGACTTCTCTTGTCTTGATTCCAGAGATGGAATGCAATCCTAAATTAGAATCCTCCTGACTACGTCTTGCAACAAAGGAGTCCTCCCGAGGATTATAGAGAGCAAAAACTCATTGACCATGATAGGCAATTCTTTCATTCTTCTTAGCCTCATTGTCGATAACCTATTTTGTAAAATAGGGCATGGGCGTTCTCTAAGTCTTCTTTTATTTCCAATCTTCAAATTTAAGTTCATTTATAGCTAGAGATAATAATTTCGCATTAAATATATGACAGTATTTCCTCAGTTCATTTAACACTATATTCAAGTGTCATCATGGTTATCATGTGTTAAGAAGCTCTGCAGAATAAATCAGAAATTGAAATTACTAACTTCCATAGATCAAAAAGTAATGACAAGAAAATAGCTGATTACACAATTAGCAGTAGTAAACATGATGGCACCAATAGTATCTCCTAACCTCAGGATTAATGCGAGTTAGAACAACATTTTGTTCTGGCAATCTAATAACCGGCCGAACCACCCGCTCAAGCCCATCAGATAGCGCAGGCACCTCCTCATATTGAACATTATACACTTTCCCACCATCCACAACACAATCAGTCTCTGCATACTGCTTCAGTAATAACCGATCTTCAACGTATCTCTTCATCTGAGCTACAATTCCAGATTCCCGAATCGGATCAGTCTCACGTTCAATACAATCCTGCGAAGACTCAATTCTATCCTCAAATGATTTCATTGTGTTGGCAACAATGAGAGTTTCATCAAGATCAAACACAATCGCTAAACAGCGTGTATTCAACATCCATAGGCATGCACTATACAAACCACTCGGCACTGAGTAGCACCAAAAACAAGGGAATTTCTTCTGCTTACTAGGCATTGCCACTAAATGAATCTCCTCGTTCTCTAGTAGCACCACTGCCGTCTACAGCAAATTAGAATATTGTCAGTTCAATAGACAATAAATTATTCATACAGACGTGCATAAATGCACATATGATGCCAAATGGAAATTATCGCAACCCTTGTATCTAGTATCTCGGGATACCTTTACATTAATTGGAGCAATAATTAATAATTGGCCATAGGCATGAATTGAATAAATGAATAAGATAAGTATCATTCCATTGAACGAATTGCAACAAATTTCACTGAAACTAATTAAGATTTACAAAATTCATTCATACACATATCACACATCCACAAGATGAGCAGAGTATCTATAAAACTATCAGAAATGTAGTTCTTTGTGCGACCTTGAGTTCGTAAAAGCAAGACGCGTGGAGATTGATCAAATGCTCAGGATTTTGATTGGAATTTGTATTAGCATTAGGCTCGAGTTTGCAACGAACTGAAACAGAGGAAATTGTTTGTAGAACCGAGAGAGGGTGACATCTCTCACTTTTGGGGGAGATTGTATGAATACGAATCTCATTGTTCGGGAACTGGAAATTCCCATCCTTCACTGGAACAGTATCCAGCTCTCCCAAATACACATCTCCATGGTACACCAACGTTTTAAACCCTAATCGACTCATTAATTGTAATAAATACTCCCAAATTCACAAAAACAAGAACAATACATTCAAGTTCTGCAAATGTGAAATCAAATAGGAGAATTTATTGCACAAATGTTGAAATTTAAAAAGAAAATAAAAACTACTCCCACGCTCTGCATGAATTTCATCTCGCACTTCCTCACTCTACTTATTTTCTCTCTCTAGAGGAACTCTCTCTCCCTCCTGAGGCAGCGGTTTCGAATGAGGGGGTACCTTATATAGAAGTGTGGGGAGGAGGATCGTTTATGTAAATGGATATTGTTTTAGAGGAAATTTCGGATATGCCATTTCGTACGGAGTTATATCGGGTAAAAGTGGTAAAGTGGAGCGGGTCTTCGCTTTGAGCGAGGAGGATCGACTATTGAAAGATAAAAATATTTTGTGCTAATTACTCTTTTAATAATTTATTTGAATTAATTTGTACTTTTTTAAAAAGTTAGGAAATATGATTGTAATTTATTTTTAAACTTTTCTTTTCTATTGTTTTATTTAAATAGGGGGTACATTTGTCATTTTACATGAGAAATTTGATGAAAATAATTATTTTCACTACAAAAGGTGCATGTAAGGATGAAAATATCTAAAAAATAAAGATATGAATATTTTGCACAATAATATTGAAAGATAATAACGTTTTATGCTAATTACCCTTTCAAAAATTAAATCTGGCTATAAGATTACACTAACATGCTTTGAAAAAGAAAGTGAATGTCAAAGCGTTAATGAACACGTATGATACTAACATGAAACACAATAATGTGAAATATGACGAGAGTTCGAGAAATTTGTTGTAAGCATTATGATTTTATGGATGTTAATCGAGAATTTTTCCATTTACATTCGTGATGATTTAGAGCATATTTGCATGAGGTTAAAAAATAAACTCTATTTTTCAATCAAAATTGGCCTAGTGTGATCATAGTTTAGAAGATAGATTGCATGCTCGTAATGACTTAAAAAATTACTACAATATTTAGCCCTCGTTTGATCCTCATTTTTGGAAAATGAAAATAGGTGGAATATATATTTTTTTAAAATGAGTAGTTGAAAAAGAAAAAAAATCGATTTTCGTGTAATATTATTTTATGAAAAATTGTATGATTGAAAATAGAAGAGATAAAAATGAAATGTAATTTAAATAGTACCAAATAAGCGCTTAAGTTAAAGTTAAAATTTAATTTTAACCATAAAAATTACAACTTTTATCAACTTTTCACTTATACACTTCATTAATTTTTATCAAATTGAGCTAAATTTTTATGTAAGACTTTGTCAAACCCTGTAATAATTATCTAAGTGAATTTATTTTCGTCTTTAAAATTGTGGGACCCACGACTTTTAAGCTGTGGGCGTCCTCGCCAAACATGATCTTAACGATGAGCCAAGAAGAGCATTCGATCAACCGGTTGTATCCGTAAACCAATTTTGCATCGACAGCTGAAAAGAAACTCTCAGTCGCCGGATTTTAAAATGGAAATGAACCAATCTTACACGTCATGACCAAAAAGATTCCAATTGGCGACCAAATGGTGGCGCCGTCAGTACTCACATACAATTAAACTAAGTTGTACCTTACACGCGTCACTATTCCATTTGTCCTGTCTTAGAGTCAAGCAATAATAATTTGACACGTACGTTTGAAAAACTATAATTCAACTCAGGAAATTAAAGCTGAATTGCTTATGGCAATTGATTTCTTATATCTAAAAAAATCAATCAAGAGTCGTCGGAGGGAGAGAGAGAGAGAGATGTCGTTGGAAGACGAGTCGATCAGAGAAGGAGATCTCGAGGAGGACTTGCCGTACGATGCCGGAGATATGATCGGCGAGTCGCAGCCTCCACCACCGCCGTCGACTACGGTGTTATCGGAGAACAAGGAAAACGGTCCAATTCTACCTCCACCATTGGATGTGCTGCCGGAGGAAGGCTTAGCTCTTCGAGAGTGGAGAAGGTGACTTCGAAAAATCCTTTGCATGAGTGTACACTGATCTCCTCTGCCTTTGCTAATATTAGAAGTTGAATATATTGGATCAATTGTAGAGTAAATTCGCATATTCTTGAGAAGTCTTCGTGCTAAAATTTTTAGGCAAAATGCAATTCGGCTGGAGGAGAAAGAGAAGAGGGAGAAGGAGATGTTGAAGGAAATAATTGATGAAGCTGATGAATACAAAGCAGAGTTTTACAAGAAATGGAAGATCAGATGTGAGAACAATATAGCTGCCAACCGGGAGAAGGAGAAGGTTTGATTCACAAATTAACAAAAATTCTGCAATTATCAATCATTGAATTTATTTTTTTTTTTAAAAATAAAAATTACGCAGTGTTGATTGAGACTGTAAGCTGAATTTTTGGCAGATTCATTAAACAAGAATGATAAACTAAGATTAGTTCTCAATGAATTTAGAGTCTGATCCATAGAAAGTATTACGAATCATATTAGTTTTGATCTACCTTCCCTCGTCCTTCATGTTTTTTGAAGCTTGCAAAACTCTTATAAACGTGAAACACTTCTAAACCATGTAAGTCGTCATATTCTTAATTAATACTCAATATATGTTGTCATTTTTATCTTGTTGTTCACTTTAGTAGGCAACACATCCAAATTAGTCGTAGGAAGTCGTGAACCACCTCAAGTTTCAAGCTATTAGATAAGAGAAAGGTTTAATTATTTAAATTTAGTAGTCTTCAACACACCTTAATGTGCAGGCTAGATTCATTTTGGTCGAAGGCCTAACATGTGGAGAATGTTTATAAATGGACGACGGGCTAGAGTCGAATTCGAGAGTTTGTTTGCTCTTACGCTATGTTGAACGGACCACTTTATCTGAAATTTTATTCTGTTGAAACGGAATTTGTAATTTGAATCGTGTTCTACAGTTGGCTTTGGAAAGCAGAGAAAAATTCCATGCAGAGGCTAACAAAACCTACATTTTTAGGCAAAATGCAATTCGGCTGGAGGAGAAAGAGAAGAGGGAGAAGGAGATGTTGAAGGAAATAATTGATGAAGCTGATGAATACAAAGCAGAGTTTTACAAGAAATGGAAGATCAGATGTGAGAACAATATAGCTGCCAACCGGGAGAAGGAGAAGGTTTGATTCACAAATTAACAAAAATTCTGCAATTATCAATCATTGAATTTATTTTTTTTTTTAAAAATAAAAATTACACAGTGTTGATTGAGACTGTAAGCTGAATTTTTGGCAGATTCATTAAACAAGAATGATAAACTAAGATTAGTTCTCAATGAATTTAGAGTCTGATCCATAGAAAGTATTACGAATCATATTAGTTTTGATCTACCTTCCCTCGTCCTTCATGTTTTTTGAAGCTTGCAAAACTCTTATAAACGTGAAACACTTCTAAACCATGTAAGTCGTCATATTCTTAATTAATACTCAATATATGTTGTCATTTTTATCTTGTTGTTCACTTTAGTAGGCAACACATCCAAATTAGTCGTAGGAAGTCGTGAACCACCTCAAGTTTCAAGCTATTAGATAAGAGAAAGGTTTAATTATTTAAATTTAGTAGTCTTCAACACACCTTAATGTGCAGGCTAGATTCATTTTGGTCGAAGGCCTAACATGTGGAGAATGTTTATAAATGGACGACGGGCTAGAGTCGAATTCGAGAGTTTGTTTGCTCTTACGCTATGTTGAACGGACCACTTTATCTGAAATTTTATTCTGTTGAAACGGAATTTGTAATTTGAATCGTGTTCTACAGTTGGCTTTGGAAAGCAGAGAAAAATTCCATGCAGAGGCTAACAAAACCTACTGGAAATCAATTGCTGAACTTATACCAAATGAAGTTCCTGCCATTGAGAAGAAGGGTAAAAAGGGTAAAGAAAAGCAGCCTTCCATTGTTGTGATTCAAGGCCCCAAGCCTGGCAGGCCAACTGACCTTTCGAGGATGCGTCGAGTGCTTGTCAAACTCAAACACAAACCTCCTCCGCACATGACACCTCCACCCGAATCCGGAGAAGAGGCTAAAACCGCTGAGTCGGCAAAGTCTCCGATTCCATCCAAGCCCGAAGGTATATCGGGTGTGGGTGTTGCAAAATGAAAGTTGATGGTGCTGCTTTGGGCATATATTCTAGCAACATGTATGTATATATTGCTTGTCTAAGTTCTTAGAACATATCTTTGGTCATTTGGTGTGTAGATAAAGATAATAGTCTGTTATGTTTGTTGCTTTTGTTGTCTGAGATGTTTATTCCCTCATGTCCATGAACCATTCATTTTGACATAATGTATATATAGTCTTTCTCATTTTCTCCTTTTCCTAATCTTACTTCATTTTTCTCTTATCCATCAAATGGGATGAGGAATAATACACGACACGTTCAGCAAGGAATTGAATAGTATTAGACAATATTATAGAATCATGTCAAAATTGCATACTAACTACATATTTCCAACTTAATGTGTTCACCAAGAAATTAATATTACAATGATAAAAATAAGGAAAATCTACAACTGGTTAAAAGGAGTAGAAATGAGTAGATATTACTTTGGGCACATCATCTAGGAATCATCTCGCTCTCGGTGATACTTTGATGACTATCGAACAGGGTTGATGTCGATAAAGGATTAGCTAATTGTTTCCCTTTGCTTAGTTGAGAAGACGACGCTATGTGCAAACTACCATCGTCCGATATTTGTGAAGTTCGTGGCCTATAGACCCCTGGCTCTGTTAATAAGCTATCATTTAGGACAACATCTTTTGAAAGCATTGTCACAACTTGTTTCATATCGGGTCTTCGTTGAGAAGCTGATTGTGTACAGAAGAGTGCGACATTGATGAAGCGTATTAATTGATCCTGCGGATATTCTATGAGATCTGGATCAACGATCTCCAAAATTCTACCTTCATTTCTTAGTTTCCATGCCTGTAATTTCAGGTTTTACACATTAGGAGATTTCCTCAAAATTGGACCCCCATTATTTTAAATAAGGAATATTGCACCATTGATCCCCAACCTATTCACCGAGTACCATGTTTGTTCCCAACATTATATAAGTTGGTTTTCAACCTTTCGTTACAGTTGCAAAATCATTCCCTAACTATAGAAACTGTCCAAATCTTCATTAAACCTTCGCGTGGATGTCATGGAAACTTGTATATCCTTCAAACTTGGGAACTACCCAAGTCACAAACCAAAACCTAGCTTCATACAGCAGGATTTGTGAGGTTCATATGACAATTTAACAGGGATTTGGACCATTTCTGTCGTTAGGGACTAATCGCGCAAATTATAATGGAAGGTTGAAGACCAGCTTGCTCCCTTTTAAAGGTTAAGGACTACTTTAATACTGGGGCAATTTTAGGACCAATGCTGCAATTTTCCCCTAAAAATACGTTTGACTACATATGCACACACATTTTTATGTTTTCCAAAAAAATTTCGAACTATTATAGGATCGATCATGTCACATTATCGATTCAAAAGAAGTTTTAGAAACTTACCCATTCAAGTAGAACCAAGAGCTCCTCTCCAAATGCAGCTTTGCTACTACTTTTGCCACTTATGATTTCAAGTAAAAGTACCCCAAAACTATATACATCGGCCTTCTTTGTCAGTTGAGCTAACACAGCATATTCAGGAGCTAGATATCCACTGAAGTTACGTTATAAATAAACCAGTGAGATACAGTGAAGAACAACAATGCATTAGATTGTTTTTCATTTTATTTTTCTTTTTCTAAAGGAGGGTGCGAGTTATGCAGAAAAGGGACCAGTTATCATATTCGAAAGGTTAATTTACTAGCCCAGCTCCAGGAGTTAACTCCTAAACTAGCATGTTTCTCTTGATAAAATAGTAACTTTCTACAACCTGGGAACACGGAAAATAAAGAGTTAAAAAATAAAGGTAAATAGAAACGCAGACTTACATAGTTCCTGCTACTCGCGTACTAACATGTGTGACATTGTCAGGAAAAAGTTTAGCCAAACCAAAATCTCCAATTTTGGGATTGAAGTCCTTATCAAGAAGAACATTGCTAGCTTTTATATCTCGATGGACAATATGGGGTTTAGCTTCCTCATGAAGAAATGCAAGACCAGAAGCTGTACCCATACATATTACTGCCCTCTTGGGCCAATCAAGATAGACATTACTTTTTGAACCTGAAATGAAAAGTTCATTTGTTAACTTGGCAATACATTCCTCAATGTACGATGTGATGAACATTGATCGTAGTTTAACGGCAACGCAGACCAACGGTATGGTTCCCACTTCATACAAGTTACTAATGACTCCTTGAAGTCTCAACCTAGACAGCACAATCGTGCATGGAAACCTGAAATATTGTCAGCTCTCTCATTCTATACACTAAACTCTATTTCTCTCTCCAACAAATACATAGGGGTCTAATCTAGTGGATGCATCACATTGTCTATTGCCTTAACTAAGTTGTTCAGACCTCCAAGTGCATGTTTGGCATTCACTATTAGACCATATTGATAGTACAATGAACCAGATATTAGTTTCTTTTTCTTTCTTATATTGTGCAAGAGCTATCTAATCCACCTTAACAAATTATTCCGTTCTTCAAATCACGTGTATACTTTAACCATCCAAAGTGGTAAAAATTCCATCCTTACCAAGCAAAGCACTGGCGAGGCTGCCATTCTCCAAATATTCATAGACCAGTATTCTATTAGCATCCTCAATGCAACACCCAATGAGTTGAACAAGGTTTGCATGTCGGGTCCTTGATATCATATTAATCTCTGTCAAGAATTCGTTGTTGCCTTGCTTAGATTCAGCAGAAAGAGTCTTGATAGCAACTTCCGTTCCATCCCTTAGAACTCCCTGGACACAAGCTCAAGCTACGTAAGCAAGCAAATAAATGGAGAAGGGTATTAAAAGGAAGGGGGCAAAAAAATAAAAAACGTTGTACATGCATGGACAAGCTATTTAACAATCAGAATCTTCAATCCAATCCTGAATCCCCTTATGGGGGAGAGATGAATGTGGAAATTTGACTAAATGGGTATAAATGGATTGGTGTAGAGTGGTTAGTCAGGTGTAACTATACTACGACTTTTTTTGGATTATTTAAACCAAAAGTCAAATGGGTGTGTCCAGCTCATTTTTGGCAGGTGCAAATTACACCTATAATTATTGAATGCACCCAAAACCAATTATCATGGGAGAATTTGGCCCTTTTACCCACTTTAGTGAGAGATATTATGGCAAATTTAAGCCACGTCATCTGCCGACAATGGACATTAAACTTACCTTGTACACTACTCCGAAGCCGCCTCTACCAATTCTGTTCGAAGGATGGAAATGTCTTGTTGCTGATCTCAATGAATTATAAGAGAACAGCTTAACATTGTTGGTAACAATTCCTGACCATGCAACATTAAACAAACATGAATACCTGAGGGCAATATTTAAAATGATAATGTAACAAGTAACTTTAGAGCACGTTGGAAGAAGCCTAAATAAAAGTAAAAAAGTTAAGATAGGTTACATTTTTTTTTTTTTTTTTACTTTTTAAGTCAACTTACTTATTTGAAAGTAATTTTTGAGTTACTGTCAAAATAACTATATTATTCCAATTTTCAATTTTTCAGTCTCTCTCTCTCTTTTTGAAACTACTTACTTTTACTGATAAGTTTCAAACTTTAGCAAGCTCGGATCAAAAATCCATATTTGCAGCATCGACATAGGAATGCAGAAAATCTAGGAGGCTCATTCCCAACATAGATGACTACAAAGTGATCGGGCTTGGATACTAGGAACATGCAATACAGGAGATTCTAGTATTGAACTTACGGATTCTTGAATTTGAGGTGCTGGAATTTCAGTCAAAAGGGCATTCATAGTGGATATGAGAATACGAGCAAACCGATGTTCAACTGCTCTATATAAAGCTCTGGATAAATTATTTGCTTATTTTGAGGAAAGAATAGGATGGATGGATCCTAGTCAACTGAAACAAGCCATCTTATAAATGTGTCAATAATATGGTGTAGGAAATCCCAGGTTACTTAATGGTGCGTTAAATACAAAATCTCCAGTGCTGATTCATTCGGAAATTCCAAAGTATTATCTAATAATCATGGGATACTTTATCTATGGCCAAATGGTTCAAAGGTAGAACATCGTGATTTTCTATAAATCTAAAGAATTGGCTTCAAACATGGGAGTAAAAGTACGAATTCTTCGTCCTCCTCTTATTCATGTAATCAAACTCCTAAACAAAAATGTTTCTCAAGATTAAACTCAGTTGTTAAAGGAATATGAACATTCAGAACTAAATGGTAACCTCTGGTCCGAGTCAAATTATTCAAGAATCTTTTCGCATATCTTTTCGCATAAACCAGTTAGGCTACACCTTATCCATCAAATCTATTAAGTAGAAGAGAAATCCAATATTTCCTTTTCCCAGTAAGGCACACATGCATTTCTTTACCACCCAAAAAGATTAATCTTTAACAATACATATACAATGGTATTATTTTTCTCAATTTCGGTGAAAATATCAAAAAAACGGAAAGAAAATTCGAGGCAGCATAGATAAATACGATCGTGAAATTAATCATACACATAAATCATAATGAATTTCTCACCTTTGGCCTCTGCTTCAGTTTTTTCTTTGCAAGAATCAAATGCACCAAAACAATTAGTAAAACCCATCGATTTGCACATTTAGAATAGCAAAAAGAAACCTTCAATCTGCCAATAAAAAAAAAAAGGAAGAAGAAGAAAAAAGGGGACAAACCCACGATTTATTTTTGGTTTTTTAAAGGAAAATAAAGAACAAAAGGCCAATTCTGAGATATCTGACTTCAATGCAGAACAAAAACGCACTATCTGAAGATGTCGTGCCGACTTGGAAAATTGAATGAATAGCCATATATACAAAAAAAAGTTATACGCGTGAGCTAAAGAATTATTACATATATAATATTGTGGAGGCTGGTGAATCACGATTTCTTTTGCTTCTGCAGTTGGGATTTCAACAGTGAATGCAGTGGGGGTGGATTGTACGAGGATTTCCACTTTTCATATTGGTATTTATATTCTCTGTTCTTGTGGTGTAAATTTGTACGCATGAATTGGTTTGTTGGCTTAACAATTATGGCGAGATGTTTATACTTTCGCACACGGATTTTGACTTGAGAGTAAATTCTTTCAAGATACTCAAACTTTTAAAAATGAGTATGCAATATCGTCATCCGACGGGTATCTATTCAGATGTTAAATGGCCATATGACTCGATCGTGATACTTGATGATTAGGGTAAAATTATTCAAAAAATATTTTCCTCCAATTTAAATTTTTCACTCATTTGACTTGATAATTCTTCCAAGACACTCAACCTTAAACTTCTAACAATTTGAACGCAATATTATTAAACTAAATATATCTATTCAGGTGTTACATAGTCATATGCCTCGATTGTTATATAGTCATATGCCTCGATCATCATACTTGATTAAAAGAATAAAATTGTCCAAAATGATTTTCCTCCAATTTGAATACATTGATTGATTCCTTCTATAACTATCAATATTGGCTACCTTGTGTTCGTGCTAGTATTTAAATTGGGGAGACATCTTTTTTGGTCAATTTTATCCTTTCAATCATGTCAACTGATCATAGAAAGTCTAAAGATATTAATTGTTACCGAGAACACAATGTTAAAAAGGTTGGGGACCTTTGGAAGAATTTATCCTTTTGACTTTCTGCCGTTTTTTCTTATGGTCCCACGGGATTGACTTGGAAGGCCATTAACCTTTTCATAAGTAATGTTTAAGACACTAATTAATTTTAGTAGTAATAATTAAATCTTAAAATAGATGAGCATTTTTATCTCAACCCTGTTCGTTCCTAATTTTGTTTTCTCAATATTAATTTAACAATTATGGGACCAAGTTCTAATTTATGTGATAAGAATGAACCTTTTACCAACTTACTCCGCGTGAAGTCATTTTCCATAAATTTTAAACCCTAGGGTACAATTTGGTAAAGCAACCAATCTTGGCTTTTGTTTTGTTATTTATTTTTTATGCAATTTTTCTTTTTTTTTTTTTTTAATATTAAGTTGGGCCCAAGAATTTTGACAAAAATAATTTCTTCTTTGAAGGGGTCTAATTTCAATATATATGAACCCAAAATGTGTTGAAATAAGTTTTGATGAATTTCAATATTGAAGAAAAAGTATGAATTCGACAATTTTTGATGTCTTCTGGTATTTCTTTTCAAAGTTACAATGTATATATTGACCACAAGGAAAATTGAAAATTTTTTTTAAAAAAAATTATGGCATGTTTGATGTAGAATTTTATAGGATATATTTATGTGAAAATTGATTTTTTTTTTATTTTTTTTCAAAAATGTGCGGTTAAAAAGTAGAAAAAAATTATGGATCCACCTGCAAACTTATTTTATGCCGAAAATAAATTTTTAAAAAAATGAATTTTAAAAAGTCTTAAAATTTTTAAAACTCAATTATTTGAAAATGGCGTATTAATTGAATGAATATTAGTAAATAAATTTTTTAATTAACACAAAAAAAATGTAAAGAAAATGTGGTGGAGGATGGTTTGAAAAGTCATGTTTGCTGGATTTTGCTAATGCTTTCGTATTTCTATTACTATAGTTCATTCAATGCATTCATAAATGCGTTTTTAATTCTCTTCCAAGTACGAACCATCACAAATTTTTTCTTCTTGTGATAAGTTTCGTCGCATTTCTCTTGATTCTCATGAATTTCATACCGTATTTACGAGATACAATGGTGTATTTGAAGAGTCACATGTATTAGGAAGAACATACATGAATGTGATTTGCTTAAGCTAATGACTCGGATAATGAAGATTCATTACAGTATATGGTGCCTATATGACAACACTACATGAAATATCCATTTTAAAAGTCAGGGAAAAAAAAATCATTTTACCACCTATATAACAGTTGTTAAAATTTACTTTTGGAATCATCGACGAGAACTTACTAATGGACTATTTTAGTCGATGATTCCAAAAGTCATTAAATTTATTTTGACGCGTTCACTATTCGTTTTCATGATGTTATCCATAAACGATGAGATTCTTGTATATTTATCAAATTTGTATTTTTGACTAATATATCCATCTTAGGTTGCTTTATTTACGTCATATTAATAAGAAAATTAAAACTAAAGTAAAATAGGGTAGGTAACAAAAGAAATAGCAATCTTAACATTTTTACAATACTTTAAAAATGACTAAAGACAACGTGCATCACACGTTCACTTCAACCTGTAAATAATGTTTTTATCGATCAATTTTGAAAATAAGCAAGAAATATAGGGAAAGTAATATTAATCTTACAGTCAAAACAAATAACTTTATTTTGTTTATGAGTAGGAAAAAAGCAATTTATTTAACTATAATTCAATGGTAGGCCAAATTTCACTATTATCATTATTATAATATTGAGTATTGCAACTAATTGAATTGTATAATTTTCTTGAGGAATCGACGACACCGGAGAATTTTGGTTAAGGGAAAGTCTTTGTTTATGAAATGGAGTGAAAGCGACATCCCATTAGTACAAAATACTATGAGCAGACTTTATGACAAATTCAAAATTAACAATGGTGTTCATCATTAATAACAGGTTGCATTTAATGCATTTGACTTTTTTTATTTTAAAACTTGAGCTATATCCTAGTGAATTTTGATTTTTGAATTTATTTGCCTTTTCCATCTATTGAAAAAGAAGAGAAAAAAATTATATACTTTAAACAAAAAGTTTCACATTAGATAAAAATGTAAACCTTATTTGGGATTTGCTACATGTAGCCAGGCGTGTAAACGCCCGGTTACATGCCACACATGAGAGGCGGGTTCCACGCATTTATTGTGAGTGGGACCCGTCCCCATGTGAGGGGCACGTCCGGGTACAAATAGATTAATCCTTATAAAAATGAGTGCGTCATACTACACGAGAAACTGTCATTTGAATTTATTTTTCTTTATTGTTTTAATAAAAACAAAAGGGATTTATCCATTGTTTGTAATTTGTTAGGTTTTTTTTTTTTTTTTTGGGAGAAATTTATATTAGTGTGTTTTGAAATGACAAAATTGTCCTTAAACTTAAGTAAATGTTAATGATATAATTATGAGAATAAGAAAATATTGGAACCTTCAATGCAATTGACCATTCGTAAAAAGTATTTTAAAATTTAAAGTGAGGTAGAACAAAAATAATGATGGTGGCAATATAATCACCCTTGTGAGGGGAAAAAAATAAAAAAAATAAAAAAGTTTGTCAAAAGACGAATTTATCCTTAACTTATAAATAATAAAAAAATTAAGAACGAAAAAAATAAAAGAAACATCTTACAAACTCCACAAAGAAAATGGACTTTGCAAAAGAACCAAGAGTCAGAATTGATGTCTGAAGCTAGTTGTGTAATATAACCTAAGGAGTCTACTAAGTTTGTTTAATGTTTAGTGTACACAAATCCTATCATATAACGTCAGTATACAACGATATATTGCAAAGAACTATTGATAAAAATGGCATTATCCAAATTCAATATTATGATAACTTAGTTGATTTCTTCGCGAAATGCAATATTGCATGTCCCACCATCTTCAAGATCAAGATTCCAGGGCATTCAAGCAGTATTTCGTGTTTTAGCAATCACTGGCTGCCAACTTCATTGTCTTCAACTTCACTCCCATCAAGAAAGTAGGCATTGTTGATGCTAAGCTCAGAACTACAAATATTTGTGGCAAGGGGAGATTCTAGTACTCCGACTGTACTACTGTTAGCAGAGCTGGGTCGAACACCATAGTTGGACAAAGCCGAAGTGCCAGTTACTACTGGTCGCAAACTGTTGTGAACACTTCGTGTAATATCCTGTCCAAAGCAAACTGGTTAGTAATTTGTGACATTACAAAAGGTTTACAAGCTATAACTCTTTAACCATTAACCTCATGCTTGCCAAATAGTGTCATTTCCCGCATTCTATGCACCCACTGCATGTAGCACTTGTAACTTATTTACTTTCTAAACAAAGATATAATTTGAATAATGTTAGCATAGTAAAATGAGAAAGATACGAACCATATGCCTTATAGCCATGTCCAACGACTTCTTGGAGAGCGATCTTCCAAAGCCCGAATTCTCTTGGGAAGATTTTCTGGGATTGTCATGAGACACATGTTTGTCTTGTTTGGGTGGAGCTAGTTTCCTCATGTTTACCACTCTTTCGACCATCTTCGTACCAATCAATACTGGGTTCACATCATCTCCACCATTGTTATGTCCTCGACTTTTAGATAGTATAGAGCTACCATTTTTATTGGCAGTACCGTTTAGAGCATGTGCTCTGGTAGGAGAGCATGATTTTCGTCTTGGTTTTTCATTGGAACTTGAGCGAACTAAAGAGGACTGAGTGGCAGGTGCACTTGGTCGTCCCCGTGAGGCAGAAGGAGGCCTTTTATGCGTCAATGATCTTATATTTTGAGAAGCATCACGTGACACGCCAATAATCTCTGAGGATTTTGACGGCCTAGATTTTACCGTTGGAGAAATTCCACATGATGGCACTGGATTTTTCATGAGGCCTGCTTTTATCCCTGATGAAGATCGATCAAAAGCAGCTATGCCAGGTGTGGTTGACGGGGTTGAAGGTTTACGGTTCGGTGTTGCAGATCTCGACCCAGACTTCGAAGGCACAGGCATTGAGGGTCGGGCAGCTGGTGTAGAAGAACGTTTAGCAGCAGGTTTTGACGGAATCGAGGATCTCAATACAGGAGCCGAGTTTCTTGTAGAAGGAAAGGTAGCTCTTGATGTAGGAGTCAAAGAACGTGAAGGCTTCGATTTTGCAGGCAAAGTCGACCATCGAGTTGGCGTTGCTTGTCTAGAAGTTGATTTTCGGTTCCCTGATGATAAAGGCCTTCTATTCACAGCAGAAGATTCCAATTTTTCAGCAGAATTTTCTGGCTCCTACATTCAAACAAAACAAAAGAAAAATGACAATGAAACAGAATGTATTGAGCTACAGATCAACAATAAGCAGAAATATCAATTTGTCTTGCAGAGTTGAACTGTATTACATCAATTTTCAAAGGAACGAAAAACAAAAACAAAATCAAAAATATAAAATCAAAGGCCATTCAACTTGCCTTGGACTCCACAGGACTGCCACAATCTGGAAATTCAGCCTGATTCACCATGGAATCCTGCATTCCGACCTCAAGCGAAGGAAGTAATGAAGTATCAGGTGGTGTAAGAAGCCTGAAAAGATGAATTGGCATTGTTATCATAGGATGACTAAAGTTTACAAATGAAAAATATTCCTGTACACAGCTCTGTGAGGATATATTCCGAAGAACGTGTGCAATTTATAATTTCCACGAACCTTATTCTGTAAGTCAGTGTAATAGACATCAACAGTCAGGACGCAAGTAGAAAAGTGAGTAAAAAGGGCTGCAATGAATTAGTGTTTTCTGCAAAATTTTCATCTCGAAAATTAAAAATGTAGTTGTTTGATACATTGCTCTTTTGTAAAGTTTGTGAAGTCGATAGTAACTTCAGAAATCATACCAATTGAAAAGACTGGTATAATTACGAAGTCTTTAAAAGTAAGCGCTGCAACACAATTGTTACTGAAGTTTATGCATGTAAACTTACGAAAAATATGTAAAAAAACCAGGTCGAGATAACTTTCTTTTTTCATATTTTCAACTACTTAACTCATCGACAATAATCAAACCACACAAATTTCATAAATGATTGCAATGTAAATGCGTTCGTTAAGCAGAGAATTAAGAGTGTTTAAACCATACCAGTCATTATCACCTCCTTCAATCTCCGAATTAAGAAAATTATCATAAGGCATCGATAAGCTGCTCATTTGTGGTTCTGTACCTTCAAATTACTTAATATAGTCGATACAAATTCAAACAAAATAATAACAAAAAAAATGCAGAAATCTGGATCAGAATTGAGTATGATAACACAAAAGAACTTGACAACTTAACCACGGGCGGGCCCACTAAGCCACTAAGGGACCAGTGTGGTCGGCCACCCACTGAATTCTCAAAAACCTTCAATTCGACATTGTTAAATTTAAATTTTAAGATTTTTATTTTTATTTTTTTCACAATTTATTTTAGACAATTTTCCGTCAAGCCCCCACTGAAGAATAATTTTGGGTCCGCCCCTGAATTTAACAATATATTAAATTGTACCATCTAGTCCAGTGTATCGAGCATGCTCGGGCAAAATTGAAAGGATAGAACAAGAATCAAATATAAAAAGTACCTTTTGAGTGATCGAACTCATTAGAATCATGAACAAGAAAATCATTCTTCTCTTTTTCGCAATTTTTCATCCCTAAGAATACAGCCAGATCTTCATCTACTTCCCTCATTACCCTTCCAAGATCCCTATTTTGAGGCCTAAAATGAACTGAAGCCTGCATTTGCGAATCAAAATCACAATGCCAACGGTCCCAAAATCTAATTTAATGACAAAATCAATACAAAAAACAAGGAGAAAAACCCAGAAAAAATCAAGGCCTAATCAAGAAACCGCCCATTTTCTTTACAACAAAAGAACAATCAGATTCTACTTGATCTAAATCAAAAGCAAGAATATAATGGCAAGTGTCCCCACCCCTCCCCTATGCTAAAATTTCTTTATGTTACGAAAATTTTCAGCTGATTTTTACAAGAACGTACGCAAAAAACCATGACCTGAACTTGTACACATTCACAAAAAGTAAACACACACAGAGTATAGAGACAGAGAGAGTATATTTATGCATATACATAGAGAGATCAAATACTTACAGCCATTGTTACGAAAAAGAGAATCCAAGAAAATGGTTTTAAGAGGCAGACAGTGGCAGTTTTTCTTAGTATTTTCAAAGAACTGTAATGTCTATAGATAGACAGATCAGAAACCGAGAAACGTGGGGGGGAAACACAAGAGACGAAGTTCATGAATCAAGGAGTCTTTTGTTTGATTCCTTTGATGAAATTCTCACTGTGTTTTTGGGGTGGTGTGGCGTGGGGTGGAGTGGATAGGGTTGGGTTGGGTTGGGTTGGGGGGAGAAGGTAACGCAACAATGAACAATCTGAGGATTTGAAATCAAAATCAAATTTTCTTCGGTAATTGTTGAAAATAGAATTGGCCTTGGAAGCGTGAACAAGGATCAAGATTGCTATTTTTTTTATTGCTTTTGAGGGGTGACTTTTTGCTTTTGCAGTTTCATGTTGCATTCAAAATGATTGGCTTTTGATTAATGGTGTGTTCACTTTGTTTAGTACTAAATACTAGGATCATTAATTTGCTTTTACTAAAAATGTAACATTTGAAAATTAAACCAACCATTTATGAAAATTAAAGACTATGATATTCGATACCATCCAATTTAGCATATTAAATAAATTTACAAGTCTCAATGACCAATGTGCTTGCAAGTTTCTACGTTATTTCAATGGTCATTGAAATTTAAAATTTGTCTGAATAGTCACGATAATTTCAACGTTGTTCTTATCGATTACCCTATCTATTTTCGTGTGAAAACAAATGATAATATCTAATTTAATGTATTAAATAGCTTTAAAAACCTGAATGACTCATGCGTTTTCATGTTCAACTATTTGAAATTTGTTTGAATAGTCGAAGTAATTTCATCTTTATTCCCATCTATCATACTGTCTCTTTCTATTTGAAAATTAAATAAGTTTAAAAATCTCAATGACTAGTGTACTTTCAAATTTCAACATTGCTAAATGGTAATTTAAATTTAAAATATGGATGAATCATCACGATAATTTCAACGTTGTTCTCATCTGTCACTCTGTCTGTTTCTCGTTTGAAAAGTAATGATTTAAATAGAATAATTAATTTTTCAACCAATCTAGAGTGAAAGATTAAACTATTGGAAACATGTTTGAAAATTTGAAAACATTACCAAGGCACTAGTGGCTCCTGTGCCAAGGTGTTCCTTTTTCTTTTTCTTTTTTTGTTTCACAAACAGTGCCTATGTGTCCTGTTTAAACAGCATTAAAGGTAATGTGGTTATTGAGATTTTTTTTATCCATATTTGTGCAATGTTTGTCCAATTCCAACATAGTAAAGATTTGTAGTTTTGCCATGTAAAGAGATTGGCAATTGAATGTTTTGCAATTGAAAATTAACTATTTAAAATACTTTATATTTCAATTCAATGTATTAAATACATGTCACATTTTGTATTAAAAGTGAAAAATTAATTAATTTGAGATTGAGTGGTCAAACTCATGTAAGTATTCATCCCAAATGCGTGAATTCCCAACTGGACGGAAAGAAAATGGGTGGAGTAAAATATAGACTTCCTTTTAATTTTATTTTTTTATTCTAAAGTCAAACATATTGTAATCACATATTTCTTGAAAGCACAATTTTACCAAAATAAAATGAAAACTAAACGAAGGCATAGTATATTATAGGGTGTGTTTAATTGTATTTATTTTTTTATGAAAAATATCAATTTTTCACTTATATTCCTACTTTGAAGTGTTTAATTGCTTTTTTTTCATTGAAAATATTTTCGAACTTTAGAAATTACGTCTAGTTTTCCTTCTTTTTAAGGAAAATATTTTCTTCGAGGGAGTAGGTTTTTGTTTTTCTCAAAACAAGGAAACCATTTTCTTTTCAATATGATATTAAGTGCTTGTTTGGTGTAAATTTTAAGCCAATTAAAATCAATTTTTTGACCGTTATTTCACTATTTCAACCGCTATTTTTTGAATTCTTCTTTTACCAGTAGGATTCATTTCATCTCTAAAGGTCTAGTAACTTAATTTTTATTACTTTTTTTCCAACTAAATAACTCCATACAACTATATTAACCTCTTAAACGAAAACTAACGCTTTCATAAAATAAATATATTTGATCTGAACACAGATCGTCATTTATCATATTAGTATTTTTGTCAATCTAATAAGCTTTAATGGAACGAGTTGATTAAATGAATGTCAACGATTGTGACAAAAATAAACTGAAATAACTCACTTAAAATCATGGCATGAGCAAGTGATGTTTGGTTTTTCTCAACATGATTTTGACATATTATGTCGCATTCATACTCTTTGTTGCAAATTGCACCATTGGCCAATTTGAACTGAAAAAGTTCTATTCCTCCCGTGATATAACAAAACTTTCATAGGATATATTCATATCATTTTGTATAAATTAATTGAAAGCCATAAATCCCCGTTTGGCCTCATTTTGTGGTAATGAAAATGGATGGAATGGTATTCTTTTAAAAATGAGTGATTAAAAAAGAAGGAAAAAAATTTCGATTTATGTATAATATTATTTTATGGAAGATTGTATGGTTGAAAATAGGAAAGAAAAAAATAAAATGTAATTTAATGAAAATTAATGGGGGCCAAACGGGAGCTTATAAACTTTTTAAGTGTCTCTCGAGTAGGATTTTAGCATTGATATGGAAAAAGATCTTATGACAATAACGCTCTTCACGACTATACTTTCACATCTTACGATGGTTGATTTACTCATGAGAATAGTTTTAGCAATCCTTCGGCCTAGGCCCAATATCTAATGCTCGACTTTCCAAAGCTTATGGCTCGATTGACCCTTGTGCTAGCTTAAGAATGCTGTGCAACTAGTTTGCTTTTCATAGATGTCTCTGTCTTAGCTAGGATGATGTGGTGTATAAGTCAAATCTAACCACTATATATTGAAATTGAAGTCTTATATTAAAATGTTAGCGCAATAAAAAGAGTACTACAAACCCTTATACATTATTTGGGATTTTTAAATATAATCGATGTAACACTACTTGATCATTAACATGCCCTCTTAAATGGTGCGCATCTAAGAACTCCAATCTGGAAATTCAAATTCATTTGTTTCTAGATGGATCAACTGCTCATTTGCTACGATAAACATTGATTACTATTTTTACATCTAAGTGATTTGAAATTTTATACTTAACACTTCAGTCCTTTAATTACTTAATTCTTTTGAAAAAATAATTGTTTGGAGAACGTACGAATGAAAATAATTTTGGAGAAAAATAAATTTAGAAGCCTGGCAAAACTATGATTTGTTTGAATAGGCAAAACTATGATTTGTTTGAATAGTTATTATTAGGGCCCCTGGGTAAGGCAAGCCCAGATTAGCTTTGACTACGTGTTAAGTCCACACTTCTAGCCGTGGGGCTCTCAAGTTCTAGGACTAATACTTGGTGGAGTCTCGGCCCAATCTATGATGACACGACCCGTCCCGAATCACCTTAATTGACTCGACACGTGTCGTGTGCCGATGGTAGATACCAGCTAAATGTTGGACCCACCACCAAGGCAACCTTGACTTGCTTGAACGAAAAATATTTTAAAAGAATTTTGACAAAGTTTACTTTGAAAAATGGACTAAATCCGCCTAAACAAAAATAAATTTTCTCAAATCCATACATATAATTTAAAATAGGACACACTAGTCCCTCGAAATACAAACTGTTCAAAATAAGTGTACTGGAAAGAAATTTACACTCCTTTCGAACCAGGTAACCCCAATTGCAAAACATATATAAAAATATACAGCGAACCCATGATATAAATACATTTTCTGATAAAAATGCATCAATCCCAAAAATATATAATGTATGTACTGACAAGACTAGACATACAATAAATACACCATGTGGCTCGACTCGCAAATCGACAGGCTCCAATGTCGCTCAACGTAGCTACCATCTGCTAAGAAAAATGGTGATAAAAATATGAGATTGTAACTCAGTGAGTGGATGATTTGCAAATAAGTAAACTTTTTCCATTGATGCATATTTTCTAAAAATTTTAACTTTATTCAATCCTTGAGAATTTCTGAATCTAGTAATACTTTTAAAAACTAAACATAATTACATTATAAAATTCTTCGTTCTAAATTCTAGAAAAGTATTTGTAAGGTATAACAAATATAAAGAATCTGATATTCATGAAAATCTATGAAATATTGCTGCTGCTCAATACTTTAAGCTGAAAGCTTTATTCTGAAAACTGAATTAACTGAATTCCATAATCTGAAGTCTGAGAACTGAATAAATACTGAACAATCATACCAAAAAGAGTACCCAATGAATAGCCTTACTCATGTACAGAGTAATCTCGATGTACAAGGTAAAGTTATTCAAATATGATAATCTGATAATCTGGTCATACGTACGCAGAGCTGCCCCAAAGGCTAATCACCCTAGTACACGGCCCAAAGCCTATGTGTGTACGAGAGTGGGTCCCAAAGACCTCTGATAATCTGGTCATACACTATGGAAACACATTCACAATAGTGCAGAACGGGTAAAATCACCATAACTAGTCATACACTAAATTCGTTTTATTCTAAAAAATCATGCTATCAACTCAACTTATAAAATACGTAACTTCAAAATTCAATAAATACTTATTTCTGAAAAATAAGTTTTATTCCCACTCACTGCTTTATGGATAAAAATCTTGGCTAAATTGACGGGCATCTCCAAGCTTCCACGTCACTACCTGAAATAATTGTATAACAACTCAAATTAAAATATGACAATTAAACTAAAGCAAAGTCACCACTTAATTCCTCAACTTCCAAATTTTCTCTTGAATCTCCATTTCTCGATACTTGAATGAATTCCCCAATTTTTCTTTAATCAATTGGAGATAATTCTATTCACTAACTCCTTCACTATTTTTTTAGTTTATCAAAATTACTTTCATCCCAAACATAAAATAATTATACTTTCCAATCTAATGAAAACTAATAACCATAATTCCTCCCATTTAATACACATCTTGTTCCATAAAATCTTCCTTTCATGTGAGTATTTCATGAAAACTATCATTTTCCAAACTTTTCTTCTCTTTGATTATTTACCAACCAATCATCACACATAATCAACTCCATTAATTTACCGTACTTTCTTAAATCACTACTTTATAAACATACAACCTCTATATACAACTTAATCCATTCCTTATTAAATCGCTTTATTCCCTTTTTAATTTCCATATGGCAGAACATGTTCCCATTTACCGATTTATTTACAGAATATGTTTTCCACATTCATTTCCCCACTACATTGGCACAATAACGTACTACCTTCCAACATCTTGAATTTACACTATAAATACTGTCCCTTTTTATTTTGCTCTGTAATATCAAAATTACTAAATCAGGAACATACCACATTCAGGCTAAATTGAATTCCAATTAAACACAATTCATCTCTTCTTCATCAGTTTACTACTTCCACACTAACATCAAGCTATGCAATTAGGTATGTTCCCTTCTTAATACTTCAAGCCACTAGACATATACATGTGACAAACAATTCATTAATTGACTAAAATTCTCACTTGCCTTTTGATTTCTTTATTTAAATTTCAATTTTAACCCAATTACTTACTGAATTTTTTTCATTCACAAAGCTCCAACCCGAAAATTTATAAATATTTGATTCACATAACTTAAAAGCCTCAAAAATGGTTTACCCATACTAAACCATCAAGAATTTGAACTTCTTTATCACTTATTGGAGCCAAATAAGAAATTTAAGTTTGTATAAAACTTACCTACTTGTGATTGTAGAAACAATGAGGCTATGAAAGACAACCCAATACTTGAAAAAGGCATCTCGCCTCCTACATATCTCCGCCAGCATTTTTTTTCCTTCCCTCGGTCTCTCTCGATTTCTCTGGTTTTTTCTGCCTGTCTATATGTGTATATATGTAATGTAAAATGGAACAATGGATTGTTAAGTTGACATTTGTAATCCACTATCAAAAATTTGCATGGAAGCCCCTCATCTTCAATTTAATATGACATTTAATCCTTTTAACTTCCATTAATAGAAAGTAGTAAATCCCCAACTTTAAATTGTATCCAATTTAACTCTCATATATTGCCAATATATAAAATAACCCAAATAAAATATTTTATTACATTTTAGTCCTTATTTGATTTTGACTTTGACGAGTCAACTTTTGATTTTTAACTAAGAAAATTGGGTTGTAACATATGAAGTGTAAATAAAAACAGCTGCAATATGACAAATGATGCGCTAGCTTAGTATGTCGAATAAAGAGAAACATGTAATAAAATCTATCAATTGTTAGTCGAGCTCAGTGCTTCGTATTTAACATATCATAAACGACTGACACAATTCTAATTGGCAATCCAACATCATAGCATTTGGAAGGAGTGCTATCAAATCCACATTTTTGTTAATATTCTAATAATGATCAACATCGTAAATCATCTTGTAAAACTGTTTCGAGTTCACTAATGAGTAATGATAACGAGGAACATAACTAGAAGGCTAAGGAAACGACGTATAGTTTCAAAAAAGTTGATCAATCACGAAAATGTCCAAAAATGTTCAAACTTCATCTTCACTTCCAGATACGTAATCTTCTTGACCCATTGAATATGCACTTCCATCCGGTCCCAATACCTTAAACCTACGCAACCCAAAAGAAATATGTAAATATCAAGCGCAAAACACAACACTATTATTTACGGGAAAAAAGCTAAAAAGTTTAATTCAACGTACTCTCCAATAGTGTGTACCAAACATGGTTTATTTGTATACCTCTCAAGGATAAATCTTCCTTCCTTGTACTTTTGGCTTTTCTCATGAGCAATTTCCTGGCAGTAAATAATAAATAGTATATGAGCGACAAGGCCGCAAACTAAAAAGAATAAGAAATACATGTTTTGCAAAGCTTCTATTAAATTATAAATTGTGGGTCCTTGAAATGTGTATCACAATTCACAAGTGTATAAAAGTTGAATGTGTGAATAAAAATAGATATTGACTAGCTTATAACAATTATAAGCTTTGCCAAACATGCACAGAGTACAGGCCTTCAAGTTTTCGAAACTCACGTATCTCCATCCCACAAGTGCACTGCACCGCACACAAAACGTGTCAACAACTGTGTGCACACCAGTCATCATCTTCCTCTCTTCCTTCTGACCAGTAGTCACATTCACACTGTTATTACAAAGTACGATATTAGGAATGCTGGTAATTAGCAGATTATATCACAATAGTTGTAATTACAAGTGAATGTCAAGAAGCATTAAAAACAAATAGTTATCATAAAGCAAGTTTAGCTAAGCATAAAACTATAAGTAAAAGTTAATTGTAAATAGTTTTTTTTATTTTTTTTTTCCCTGTTTGGATAAGTTTTTTTCTTAATGAAAGAAAAAAGGTTGGTTATTTCGAAAGAAACTCTTAATTTGTTGTTAAAATAAGTAACTTAGAGAGGATTTAGTGACTACTACTTCCCATTGATGAATAGTTCTCAAACAACAACAAAAAAAGATTCCTTAGCCCCTGTTTGGTATCGATTAAAATTCAAATTTTAATCAACGTCAAAATCAACAATCATTTTTAACCACATATTTTATGGATCTCATAACTTTTCAACCACGTATTTCATCAAATTTTATAAAAATTTACTAAAAATCTGATTTTAATTCTCATCAAACAGGGTCACAATTCACAATAACAATTTTAAGTAACAAAAATATAAAACCACAAGAAATTCAATATTGACATACACGCATTCATATTTATTCTGGAACCCCATAAATTAATTTTTGATATATACGACTATAGTTATCAAAGAATACTTACACCTTATCGAAGAGATAAGCCTTTCCAGTACTGCAGTGGAAAGACTGAAAACAGATAAGAAGATTTGGTTAGAAGTTGTGCATATACATCAATTCTTGGTACCATTAGTTATTCTGTATGAACTGATAACTTGTGTATTCTTCATTTTTTATTATTTAGTGATATTATAAGCTTCTAATTTCCTTATCGAGTACGCCCTCCATGACGAGCAGCATACAAAGATAAGATGATTACTGTACTCCCCTTCAAACAAATTACAATAAATTTCTCACATTCATAACTAGTAACTTTCCATAAATTATAAAAACAAGTGCTAGATGCCTGCAAGAATACTATTCGGGACTGTCATATGCTGTGGCGTAGGACTCACTAACGTGGGCATTATAAACTGGTTTCAGATGCCTGCAAAAGGAAAATCTACGTCTTACGTGTATCTACTACCGACTCATCATATAAAGATACAACACGATAGATATAGTTCCAGATACAACTATTTAAAGTTCTCCAACGGTTTGTTTTCCAGATTTGTCAACTATTCATACCAAGAAAGTTGTTTACATGAAGTAAACGACAAATTGACAAATTCCAATTCCAACTCATGATACTTGCTAATAAGATATTTAGTCCTTTTCCAAGAGCTACGGTCAAGTGGACGCTAGACTTTCGGCAGACATTTGTAACATTTGTACATGAACCTAAAAAAGAATAATTTCTATATTTAGATGCACAGGCTGCACATAACCACAAGTCAGTCTATTCCAATCATGAAGTTTCAAACAGATAAATGAAATCTCTATTCCATAAATTTGTCCCCAAAGTGATGACTCAAACAATAACAAATCAGAAACTCAAGTCAAATCTTACTTGTCACCGAAAATAACTAATTGAATTCTTTGCATTAAAGATTGCAGAGCTGAAGAGTCTCTCCAAATTCTTCTAGCTATGAAATTATACTTTCTCTCACAATTATCAACTCCATTTTAGATCTACTCTCAAAAAGGTAAGCAAAAGAACTCCCCTCATACGTTTACCTTTCTCGTAATAAACATTAAGTACATCTTTGGTACATGGCACAGTATGCTCGACTGCACAATAAACGAGATTTTAGCTATTTTTCTTCCATAGCATTCAATCCTTCCTACCAAACATTCCATAAGAATACGAAACTTCCAGTTTATTCCATGTCATTATCTTCCTAATTCCCATCTTAATTTTCACCAACAAGAACATGGACAATCAAAAATTACATTCCACAACCCAAGTTCAAAATACTCAAAAATATATAAAAAAATTTCATAGATATATAAGCACATATTAAAGTATAAACACATCAAAATTGAAAGAGAAATCAAAGCGAAAAACCTTGGAGATGAGATCAGAAAAAACAGCAAGATGGGTTCGGCAGTGCTTGCAAGTATACATTCTCCCTTCAAGATTGATCAAAAATAGCCTTCCCATCGAACTGATATTGATAATGAACTCTTCCCAAAAATCACACAATCGACAGAAAAAATCAAATTCCCAAAAAATTAACTCAATCAAGAAACAATACAATGCAAATGTATGTACGCGTGTGTAATATAAATACATATTCATAATATGAGCGAAAATTGCCGGAGCCCAGATGAAAAGAACTGCAGTCGCCAGTCGGCAGAATCGGGCAGATGATCTCACCTTAGCAGAGGTGAGCGATAAGGTGGCCTGAAAAGAGTGACAAGAAAGAATGAAAATGATCATAACAAAAGAAACACGACCGATACTTATTACTAGTAGAGAAATAGGAGTTCCACACACCCTCTCCCCCGCCCTTCTCCACTCCCAACCTTATTGATTATGTCCCAGGCACGTACGAAATACTTTGCCAACACGATTACTGACCAATGTCTAGCAAAATGACACACAAAACCATCAGTGTAATCCATGGAAGTTCTTAACTTCATGGATGAAAAATAAAAATATGAAGCAATTTGTAAAATGCCGAGCCAAAGGATCTTAAGTCCATGCTACAAGCTGGATTGTCTCCCTCAACCCAACGATGCCCTTCAGGTATCATCATGGCATCATATGAAGAGATATTTATCCAGTCAACAGGCAAAGCAGTGATTCTCTTTACATTTTTCTGTTTGTGATTACTTGGGGAACTGCAAAGGATGGTGGATGCGATTATATTTTAGACCTAAAAATGTTGTTTACAATTTTGTACCAACATATCACAAAAGTAACATATAGTGCATGTTTTGGAATTAATTTATTAATCTACCTATTTTCTTTGTGAATATGTATAGCAAGGATTGCAATCTAATTTTACTTCTAGGGCCTAGGGGCATATACATACTGACACAGAAAATTATTTTCAAGTATCATTTTTATCCACACGTATCAATCTCTCTCTCTCTCTCTCCCCCTCCGAATTGAGCAGGTCACAGTACCACCTCCAAGTGGCCAATAGCTGTTGAAGCAGCACTGTCTCCAAAAATTCCAGCTTTCAATGTTAGTAACACACCAACCCCCTAAAGTTCAACTCTCATGGCTACCATATTTCCACCTCTGACAACCAAGTCCAATGTAAAAGCTTGTTCAGTTTTTAGTGGAATATATTTTATGATGTGAAAATGCGATCTACAGTTCTGTAGCCTAATCCGAATTATAGAGATACATCACTATCACAACAAATGCAAAATAACAAAAATATTCTGAATTCACAGTCAACTCCATTCACCCACATTTGGGAATCAATGATTGGCTTCCAACTCTTGCATCTGCCTGTAATGTAGAACCTAAAATGGATGGAACACTGGATAGATGAAAACCTTTCACAGATGGACTACCCTTCTGGTTGGGGGGTATTGACTATACCCTTTATATCTTTGAGCTAGTATTTAAGTGGAAAATGGCGTGCAGGAATGGTGATTATAGTGTGCTAGAAAATTGAGTAACGTAATTGAAAGCCTATAGAAAGATTATAGAACCCCAGTTTCTCCATCTGTGAGGACTCAACATAACACCCAAACGATTTATGAATCACTTCCATTATGGTAGCAATCAAGAAGCTTTTTTCAAAATAACTTTAATCATGGTTCAACAAAGTAACAAGTAATTCAAGTATGATGAGTCCCAAATATATATTTTTTTTTTTTAAAAGAAAAAAGGCATTAGTGAATAATGAATAGAAAGAAAACATTCAGAGAAAGTGTCATTAGATTTTAATTGCAAGAGTGCTTCCCTCCTCAAATAAATCGTGAAGAATTAGTTTCATGATTTTAAGAAGAACTAGCTATACTTCATGCAGTAGTTAAAATTTTATAAGTTTTCAGGAAAATAGTGAAGGCCGACATTGCTATCGGTCCTAATCTATGCCTCTTGAGCACAGAATAGAAAACCTCAAAGTACAGTGCTCAAAGCATATCCCATGAGATAAATGTTACCAAGTTAAGTTGCAAAAAAATTATAAATCATATTATGCAGCACATAGAATGTTAATTATTCTCAAGAGAAAATATTCAGCCGCATCAATCTTTTACAATCCACAACTTCATCAAAGGCATTTCTATAAATGACCTACTAGACGGAATGGAAGATGCACACAGCTAACAGGAAAAATTTCATGTGCATAGATATGAACAGCTATTGTATTGGTCCAGAACTCAAGCTTCTCGTCTCAGAAGATGGTTGAAAGAGAAAAATACAATTTGATGCCATCAATAAAAATACATAAAGTTAGCCATGTTTCCCCACTCACTCCTTTTACCAAGTTACCTGATCTAAAACCCAGCTTTAAGGATCTTTCTTTGAGAAACATATTAGTCAACATCTCACTTGCCAACATATTTGAATACAAAGCATCTATAGACCTCAATGTTCATTGCTACCAGCAAATTTTCTTCATTATGCTAAGCTGTTGTCTACCAACTGTATCGTTAGATAATAGCATTTAATTTATCAAACATATTTTTTTTTCTCTTAAGTAAGGCAGTGAAATTCATTAGTTTACTGAAAGGAATACAATCAAGGCTCAGCCAAAAACCAGTTAAGCAGGGAGATTGCATTCCTGTTTATGTACATAGGAAAAAATAACAGATCAGGGTACTCATCTTGATCAATGATTAAAGGATACCAGTAATTTGTTTGACATAGCATTTGGTTATGTGGCTATCGATCCAGCAAACAACAATACAAAAGATGAATTTTGTTTGGTTGGTTATCATCAATTGAATTTCAGCATCTCCAATTCATAGCTAGAGAAAGGTTATTTAAGTGGAGAATGATGATGAGAGCATGGCCTAAAAAAAATTGTCAAATACTAAGTTTGAACTCAATCTAAAATTAACCTTGAAGTGAACTTCATTATTGCCTGTGTTTAAAGGTCTAGACGGGCTTAAACAAATTTCCGTAGTTAGATTCAATCAGCAAGTCATAAAGAAGAACATTCATGTCCCATAATTCTGACAAAAAAAACCAGTAAATATGGGTTTGTGCTTAAAACTGAAGAAGCATAAAATCCAAATAATCTGGATTTAAAAAAGGAACCAACAATACTAATGCCAAGCAAGAGATTTAATTACCGGAAAACCACCACGTCACCGTGCGAAAACTTGTATTTCTCAACCAATGCATAGTCATCTGCAGGCACCAGTAACAATCCAGTAAAAATCTTTACCACAAAGTAAAAACGATCAGTAAAATATGAAATAACCCATCAAATTGCAGCAGAATTTTCGTCATGGGGGTTAAGAGTAGGAGACATTGAGGAGCCGCGAATGGCGGTAGGGCTTACATATCGGTCAAATTCTGTGAGGCTTATCAGCCCAACGGTGAAATATTTCTTTGCGATACCGAACAGAAAATTTGCAGTTGCCATATCTGTGGTGCCTAATTAATATATGCGTAAAATTTTAAGAAACTGAAAAATGCAACAGCAGCTGTTACAAGCTACTACACTGAGCACACTTCCAGGAAGCAACGAGGCGGAGAAGGTAGCGTTGGTGATGGAGCCGAAACTGCTTTGGTGTTGGTGGTCGCCGGCGAAGGCAGTTGGGTGTAATCGGCGGAAGGTTTTCTTCTTCCTGTTCCCTTTATTTTTATTTTTCCTTTCTTCAGTTCGGTGTTTTAGCTTTTTTATTCTTTTCAATAAAAAAATGTCGAGGACGTCTTTGCTCCATTTTGAAAATTAGAAACCAACTTACCAATATCAATACAATTGGGGCGAACAGTGAAACTTTTATACTGGGCTTGTTTGAGTCCCAAAAAAAAAAAAAATACATTTCAAAAATAGCGTTTTGATGGAGAATATGTGATTGAAAAGTAAAGAAAAATCTATAATTTTTGTGTAATATTATTTTATAAAAAAATGTGTGATTGAAATAGGGTTTAAATATTATTCGAATATGTATCATGATCAAAAAATGAGAAAAGAAGGGCATTATATTTGGGTTATTAGCACAAATCGTCTCTATGTTTGAAGTTCATTATACAAAATGCCCCAAACTTGCATTTCTTACATTTTCATCCCTATTTACACATTTCATTTTGAAAATCATCATTTTGATTTTTAATTATGTATTTGAGACTCATTTGAAATTTTTTTTAAAAATTTTGGAACTATGATTGGAATTAATTCTTTATTTCTTTTCTTTTCTCTTTTATTTAAATAAGAGAGTATATTCGTTATTTCACAACTTTTAATTAAGAAAATGAATGAAAATAGATAAAAATGATGATTTTCATAATGAAATATATCAATAGAAGTGAAAATACAAAAATTGCAAAGTGGGGACGTTTTATACAATAAACTTCAAACATAGGGATATTTCGTGCTGTTATAAAATACATTTTCTTTATCAAACTAATGGAATCGACTTTAAATGGACAGGAGAAAACTTCTAGTGTCTTGGAATATGAAACTAAACAATTCGTGTTAATATTTAATTGACATGTATACGTATGGGTCCTTAATGCAAAGACGACTCCAAATTTTGAAAAAACATTATTTTAAGGATGTTATGGATATATTGGGGTTTGAGTTGTTTGCTTTGAGTTAATCCATAAATGCCACAAGCCTAGGAGATCAAAAAGGGTGGAACTAGAGATTTTTTGGAAAATACGTAGAATTTTCTCTTGAGTTTGGCGTCAACCAGAATTTCTTGATCGTGGAGGAAGAAAAAGCTAGAGATAAGTCGAGCAATAGGATGAATTCAAGAGTTGAAGAATTCTTCTTGTTAATTTGATTCCAGATGATGTATTATCAATCCATACATCTGAATATTTGTCAATTGTATTATCAACCCACAAACATAAATGTTTGTGCTTTTAAAAAAAATATAAATTACATTAAAATATTGCATATACTATAATTGAAATTAATACATAATGTACGTCAAAATCATTACAATTTACTAAAAGATATTAGTTTTTCAAATAATACACACATCGTAATTTGTCACAAAATTACATAAACTATAATTATCAAATTCTTCTGGTAAAGTTCAAATTTTGTAAACTTTAACAAACACTAATATTTTTTTAATTTACTCCAATATTTTCCACATAATTGTGTAAAGCTGCTTATAAAATAATCGTTCAATATTCTTGAAATTATTGAAGATTACTGTGTTAATTTTCATTTCTTCTACCAAAATAAGCTCATTTACATCTTAAATTTATGTACACGAAATTACAGGTTATTGTATAAAACTTCAATTTTC